ATCCCCATGAAGATGATGGTAATCTGGATTTCATCAATAATGATCTAGCAACTAATTGTAATCGCTTAATTAAGGATTCAACAAGACCATTTTGTGTGTGCACGTGTGGAACTGCATGTTCCACAACAATCCCAATTGACATGCAATAGTCATTAAAAGATTGTGATGTAAATTCTTCTGCTTTATCAAATCGAATTTTCTTTATAGAATAATCCGGAATTTGTGATCTCAAATGAATAATTTGAGTAAGCAGAATTGCAAATGCAAAATTTCTATTCGATAAAAGATTGACGTGAGATCAAAGTGTTGATGCATTAATCAGCACCATAAAATATCGAAAGGGTCCACATGGAGGGGCAATTGGCCCACAAATATCTCCTTGAATTCTCCCTAAAAATGTAGAAGATTCAACTCCAATTTTGTATAAAGATGGTCTGATAATTAATTTGTCAAGAGAACAGGCAGTGCACGGAAAATCACTTGATTATGAAATCTTGACATTAGTTAATGAATGTCCAAGCGAATTTTGAATAATTTTGTGCATCATAGTGCTGCCTAGATGACCTAAGCGGTCATGCGACATGATAAAAGAATTCTGGTCATTGATTTTAGATACCACATTTATCTGAATTGGATTGATATATGTATAAAACAATCTAGAAAAATATGCTGGCATTTTTTCAGAAATATGTTTATTGCCAGATCTAATTTTCGTTACACATAAATATTCCTTTTGATTTTCAGACATGGTTTCAATATGAAAACCATTGAGACGCATATCTTTAAAACTCAAAAGATTTATCTATGATTACTGGAGTATAAAGCATCTTTAATTATTAATTGTGTCCCTTTTGAGAGAATCACACCAGCCATTCCAAAACCTTCAATGAGTTTAGCAACACCGTCTATTATACAATGTTCAGAGCCACTTGGAGAAATTTCAGTTAATTCCATATCTTCGAAAAGATAAAAGTGATCAAATATTAGTCCAATAATGTAATATAAACAATACTTTATTCATTAAAATGTACATAACTTTTACAATCGAAATAAGCACACCAAATAAAAATTACAATACAACAAACTTTTATTGTAGAATATATTACACAACAGAATATTTTATTTTAGTTTTATTTTTCACACATAACGATGTTGGTGTTCATCTCATTATCGTCCATAGAGAAATTAGACACAATAAATGTAGGCATTGGAGGAACGTTTTCGTTGATGTAGTTTATTCCCACATTCTTTCCTTTTAGAGATGATTTATTCATTTATATAAGTCAACCAAATGTTTAGGTGTACGACACTTATTTGCCCAATGTTTTTTTGGAAGAAAACAAGGAGTGAGATATATTGTGTACAATATGGAGTTATTAATTTCAAGAGCAGATTTCGTTCCTATAAAAGTTTGTCTTTCTTCTATCTTCGTTGATTTCTTTTACATAAAATATAGCTATAATTCTCTGATATGAAGGATCCCAATTCTTGAGCAATCATAGACTTTACTTTCTTATAGTTTTGAATATATTTAAACATGTTCATACTTCTCAACCTCTTTTTTTTCAAATGAATTGATAAATTCGTGAAAATATATACCTGTTGGGAAGATGATGATTTCAGGGATTTGGAACAAATTCGTGTTGATAACGTGTTATAAAATGGAAGGAAATAAGCAAAAAATTTATGGAGAGATTATATCAAGTATAAAGATATTCTTGAGAGTGTATTAGATGTGTTCTAATGATGTATTAATTACCATGAGAATGACTTCTATTTATAGGAGAAAGTGTGAGCTCAATGAGATTAGAAGATCATTGTGAGCCACACATTTCTCACTTTTAAATCATAATTATGATTCTCTAATTATTTATATTATGGTGATAATAATTTCTAATAAAAAATAGTTGGAAGATGACTAATTCAATTATATTTTAACACTGGTCTTATTTAAAGTCCAATCAATAATAGCCTAATGTGTCCAAACGAAAACACGCATTCATATCATTGATAATTATATTATACTTTTAGAATGGTAACTTTAGGATAAAACCACGTAAACCAATCAGTAGATCCATTAGATCGAATGAGATAATGAAGTACAAAAGTTCCACATGTTTAATTTTTCCCTTTTGTGTATCACAATTTTTAAATAATTAATTTGATTTAAACTCGTAAGCATATTCGCTGAAAAAGCATTTGTACAATGTTTTCTATTTTCATGCGATGATAACTGATCAATGGTAAAGTTTGGTCAATCACCCAATCATACTCTCATTATTTAAAGTATCACTAGATTAAGTCTTGACACAATATTTAATGGAGAATTAACATAGATAATGAATAATGTAGAAAAAATAGGAGAGAGGGTGAAAAGGTAGGAAAGACAAGATAAAAAGTAGAAATAATAAGAGTAGTTGGGTTTTTATTTTCATAAAATAACTAAAGTGAAATGTTGTTGAACACATATTTTTTTTCAAAAAATATATGAAGTATAACACTTACTTCGAAACAAGTCAAAAAAAAAGTAAGACAGCTAAAACGTGACAGAATAAATATGATTTAGGTAATTGGACAAAGTAGTCTTCATGTTTGGCCGGCCTAACGGGAACCACTGTCCACCCGATCCAATTTGGGGTCCTTCCCGGTGAATTTTCAAAAAAATTACACCGGGAAAACCCCCAAATGTGCTCGGCCGGACGGCTGTCCCGATGCTTGATATGAAGTTTCATCTTGGGAAAAACTCTTACCAGTATAGGTTTTTGGAAACGAAGCAAGGAGAAATGGGTCCTTAATCAGTTAATTGGAGGACACATTTCTGAAAACAGCCCTAAGACTCTAAGAGCATTCACCATGGGAGGTCAATACCCGCACGGGTAGCTCAGTTAGTTGAGTGGTGGAAAACTGGATCATGGAATCCATGTTCGAGTCCCCGCAGCGACCGTGTAGAGGCCACAACCTCTGAAATGGGCTGGACCTCTGGCGCGCACGAGCATATGGGCCTACTGCCACTCTGCCGACTGAGTCACCGTGATTTACATCCTCCCAATCTGCCCTTTCGGGTCGGGGTGTGGGGGCTCCGGGGGTGGGAGATTCCACCTTTTGGATCAACTATGGGAGGCCGAAAGGTGACTGATTGATCTCACTTGATCCCCACTATGGGAGGTCAATAGACTGATTGATCAACAAGGAAGCTCAAGAATCGGACACAAAAATTTAGAGAAGGCATGTGACTAACCAATTGAAGAAGACCATGTGGCTTTTATTTAGCATGAAGCCACTTAGCCACCAATCTCATCAAACATCCCCAAACTCTCTAATTTCATTTATTATTGGTAAAAAAAGTATACCAAACGATTAGATTTTTTCCTCTATAAATAGACACCAATGAAGGATATATTTAGTCACTTCGAAATTTACCACTTCTTTCCCTCTTGCATTTTATTTTATGTGTTTTAGAATGTTTTTTCCTCTGAAAATGGATCCAGCCCGTTCTCTACCTAGATACAATGCCAACAATAAATAATTATAGTGGGTCAAATGTGGATTTTATATTCCTTTTTCAAATTATATAAATTAATATTGGTGGAATATACCAAAAATATAGAGAGAGGATGTACAAATTTTAAATGGACTAGATCACTATAGTGGAATGAAAATTTGATAAGTTAGAGAAGATTAAGTTTTTTTTTGTAGAAAATAATTTGGAAGATAGAAGAGGGTAGGGGTGGGCATGGGTCGGGACGGTTCGGGATTAGGGTTATCCCGGTCCCGTCCCAATTAATAATAACGGGACGGTACGGGACAAGCCTTTGTCCTAGTCTTGTCCCATTTAAATCGGGACCGGGATGATTCGGAATGGTTCGGGACGGTTCGAGATGTCCCAAACCAACAAAAAATAATCATTTGTAATTAATATATATATATATATATATATATATATATATATATATATATATATTAGCATTTCTAAAGTATCATGCAACAAAATATTACTACGTAACATTTTAAAAGTCAATTGATGTTCATCAAAAGCTATCTATTTACAACAATCTAAAAGCTATTAGATTTTAGTTAGGTTTAGCAAAATTTGAAATTATAATTTAAAACAAATAAAAAAAGAATTAGTTTATTCGAAATTATGTGTTCTAGTTGTGAGATACGCATATGTAGATATATAAAGTGAGATAAAAACCTATGTTATAAATATTTATGTTAGGTATTATTTTTAATTTAAAAATTGGGCTTGAAAACACTAAAAACATGCTTTCATTTATTTTTTGAGTTGACACTACAAACTATATAGTTATTACAAACGGGACAACGGGACGGTTCGGGATAACCTTCCATTGTCCCGGTCATGTTCCGTTTTAAACCGGTACGGGACTGGTGCGGGACAAAATCAATGAGACCCAAACGGAACGGGACAACACCGGTACAGTTTCGAGATATACAGGAATGGGACAACGGGACCGGGATTCTTGCCCGCCCCTAGAAGAGGGGATCAAAACCCATCCGCGATTCCGCATTGATTGGGGGTTAACCTATGTTATTGGAGGTTTAATTTTTAGTTAACCTCGTTTGTTTGTGTTTTTGGAACAAGAACCTAGGTTATAACTTAACCTCACTTAACTCCCGAGAACTTAGAAACACCTCAAAATTGAAGAACCTCCGAATTGGGGGGTTTCAGATGTTAAGTTCCCGTTCAACATAAAATAAACTAGAGTACCTTCATCCAAACAACATTTATGACATTAATCTAGGTTCACCTTATTTATTTCCAAACGTCATTCTACGCATGAACCTAAGTTCAGTTAGGTTAACCCAGTTTTTATTAAAACTTTGATTTACTTTATTGCACTAGGTTTATTTAAGTTCACTCCATTCAAACATACCATAAGGAACTCTTCTATTGCACAACCCGCGAAGCAACTGCCATTCCTTGAACAAATAAGACGTTGCCACTTGTCACTCTTCTATTGAATACGGATTGTCTTCCAGTCGAAGCAAACTTGCATCGAGATATGGAGATAGATCCATCACCTTCACTCCTGGGTTCTATATATACTCGCTCTCTTGTGGATAGCTAATGCACGCTTCAACCATGGCGATCCGTTCAATCATCCTGCTCTCATTATTCTCTCTCATATCGACAACGTCTTTGTTGGCTCTGGCGGAGGCCGGCGGAGGCAGTGACGACATTTTGATCCGTCAAGTCGTCGGGGACGAAGACGGCCTGTTGAATGCCGACCACCAATTCACCTTTTTCAAAAAGCGGTTCGGAAAGGCGTACGCCTCCAAGGAAGAGCACGATTACAGACTCTCGGTGTTCAAGGCTAACATGCGCCGTGCAAAGCGCCACCAGCAGCTCGACCCCTCTGCCGTCCACGGTGTCACTAGGTTCTCTGATTTGACTCCATCCGAATTCCGGCGAAACTTTCTCGGATTGAACCGCCGGCTCAGGTTCCCTGCTGATGCTCATACAGCGCCTGCCCTTCCCACCGACAATCTCCCGTCAGATTTCGATTGGAGGGAGCACGGTGCCGTTACTCCCGTAAAGAATCAGGTTCGCATCCACCATTGTTGTTGGATAGTGTTTTGGTAATTGAATCTTCAGAGTAGATTTTTCTTCCAATTGATGAAAAATTATGATCAATATGAGAGAGATCTGAATATTCAATAAATCATGAACTATTATATGAGTTGAATTTAATCATTGCTGGCCTGGGATTTGAAAAATTGAAAACAGGGGTCGTGCGGTTCATGCTGGTCATTCAGCACCACTGGAGCATTGGAGGGAGCCAACTTTCTCGCCACTAGGAAGCTTGTGAGCCTTAGTGAGCAACAGCTTGTTGATTGTGATCATGAGGTCTGATATTTTCAGCGATTTGTTATGGCCTGTTTGTTTTTGCTTTTTGGTGAAACTAAATTATTTTAGTTTCAACTCCTATAGGCCTATCTAAAGTTTTAATCCTTCACCTAAGTTAAGTTTGCAATCAACTAAAAAAGGAATCATTATAATTGTATGTATATATAGACTTGGGTTCACTCAAATTTTACTAAACTAAGTTTATTTAAGCTTATTTCATCATTTGGTATGGAGCAACAGACTCACATTTTTTGTTTGGAAATATGATAAAATAAAACAAAATGACTTATGAAATTGTCTGCAACAGTCAGTCCATGCAATTTCCGAGTTTTCGACACAATTTTCACTATTGATCATCCGGAAACAGTCTCCCTTCTTTAGTTCGGGAGTAAGGCGGCGTACATTCGACCCCCTTACCCCACCAAAGGTGTGGGGAGCCTTTGCGGCACTGGAGTAATGATGATGATGAAGTTTATTAAAACTTGGCAGATTTACTTACCTTTGCCATATGCGGACCAATGCTTAGTGTTCAAGTAAACTATAAACACTAAGCATGTGAATTTTATACCACTAGCTGGATTTGCTTCCACTGTAACACTAAGATTGTGGGACTAACAAGAGAAGCATGAATTGTGTTAGTGTGATCCTGAAGAACCTGGTTCTTGTGACTCTGGATGCAATGGTGGGCTAATGAACAGTGCATTTGAATATGCATTGAAAACTGGTGGACTGATGAGAGAAGAAGACTATCCCTACACAGGCAATGATGCTCAAGCCTGCAAGTTTGACAAGACCAAGATTGCTGCTAAGGTAGCCAACTTCAGTGTTGTTTCCCTTGACGAAGACCAAATTGCAGCTAATCTTGTCAAAAATGGACCCCTTGCAGGTTTGCCATATAATTTCTTTTTACTTATGGAGTATGTAATTGTGGTCAAGATGTTGTCACAGCTCACTGCACAAAACTGTGTGACAGGCTTTCACACACCTCAACCATTCACTTATCTATACAAGGCTCGTATTTAAGGCTCCAGACCATAAAAGCTCTACTAATTCATATTCTTCGTATGTAATTCTTAAATATCGTAACTGTTTTAGAATCTTAGACGATATTACTATGATAATATCTGTAGCGCTAAAATTTGTAACTTCCACATATAGTATACGGAGAATATAGCTAAGATTTTGCAAATTGATCTGTATAGGTAGAAGAATACAAGGAGATATCAAACTTGACAAAATTTAGTCTTCAATGGATAATGATATGATGAGTATATAAAGAAAACCAAAACTTGAGATTAGATGAGGAGGGAATAATAATTTCACATATTAGAAATCAAATCGGCATAATCTATGTGAAACTAATCTGTGAAATTCATTACCGCACTACACATATTATAATTGTGTCATTTTAAAACTTTGAATGATGTTTAAAAACTACATAATCAGTGTGGCCTACAATGTTACATTACTATGTACTCGTATATAGTATTACGGAGTATCAAGGTTTCTTTACTCTAAACTCTAAAGAAGATGCATTTAGAGGTCTTTGGAAATAAGGTTTGGATGTTGTTGTAGAGCTTTTTGCCTTTTTGGGAAAAGATTACTAACATACAAGCATCTGGAATTTTGGTTACAGTGGCAATCAATGCCGTGTACATGCAGACATACATGAGCGGAGTGTCGTGCCCGTACATATGCTCCAAGAGGCTGGACCATGGTGTCCTGTTGGTTGGATACGGTGCATCGGGCTTCGCTCCAGTTCGGGCAAAAGAAAAACCATATTGGATTATCAAGAACTCTTGGGGCGAGCATTGGGGAGAGGAAGGGTACTACAAAATCTGCCGGGGTAGCAATATATGTGGAGTCGACTCCATGGTTTCAACTGTTGCCGCTGTTAGCACCACCAATAGCTTGGACTAGCCTCATAAATTCTACATTCAGATTATAGTACTTCTGTACATAATTGAGATTACAATCATACAAGTGTGTATTAAGCTTTAAGTTTCATTAATCAATATTTCTCAATTTAGTTTAAACCACAACTTGTCATGCAATTCTTTACTTTTTAAAATGTATCTCTATTTATTTTGTCATTATGGGATTATAGGTTATGGAATTACTACACTCCTTAAATCATGTATATTTTTCTACTCCATTTTATATTCACAAAACCAAAATACATTTGCACATATACATACACAATTTATACTACGTGTTATTTGAAGTGGTTGTTGAATGTTGACCAAACATATAATGTTTGTATCACAATATTATATTTAGAGTAAAATGATGTCCTTTTATAATGGCTCACACTCAAACCTCCTGACCTCTCTACATGGAATCATCACCGATAGCATAATACTTGCAACAAAAGACCAATGAATGAATGATATAATTGAAATAATTGATAACTCACTTCTCTGTTCACGGAATGGTGGAGAAACAGAGAAGTACAAAGAGCTGAAGAAATTGAGGACTTCAAATTTTCTCTAACGGAGGAAGAAAACGGATAAAAAGGTAATAATCTAAAGTTCAACGTACAATTAAATTTTGCTTAAATGTTACACTAATGCATTTTATATTCCCAAATGCCCATTTCTCTCATTCACATTTATAAGTTTGTGGATAGAAAATAAATGGCTGTTGATGATCCTATTCAAAATTAATTTGTTTTTTTGAAATATTACAAAAATTCCAACAATAGAGAATAAGAGATGAATCTTGTTTAGCCTGAACCGGATCGAAGCCTGATGCACTGTATCGGACCATCAGGACACCTTGGTCCAGTTGAATGCATATACACTACACTGATTGCCAATGTATCAAAAATTCCAAATGCTTGTATGTAAGTACTCCGTAATATTTTGCTTTAAATGAATCTATTTTAGTTAAAACAAACTTTAATAATCCATAGTAATAGACTAAGGTGCTGTTCTGTTCGTCTTATTCTTATTACTTATTGATTATTCTTATTTTATTCAGATCAGATCAGATCAGATCAGAAAGATTCAGATCAGATCAGATCAGATCAGAAAGATTCAGATCAGATCAGAAAGATTCAGATCAGATCAGAAAGATTCAGATCAGATCAGAAAGATTCAGATCAGATCAGACAAGATCAGAAACATTCAGATCAGATCAGATCAGAAAAGTTTTCACTTTTATTATTATTATTATTATTATTATTATTATTATTATTATTATTATTATTATTATTATTATTATTATTATTATTATTATTATTATTATTAATATTATTATTATTATTATTATTATTATTATTATTATTATTATTATTATTATTATTATTATCATTATCATTATTATTATTATTATTATTATTATTATTATTATTATTTTTATTATTATTATTATTATTATTATTATTATTATTATTATTATTATTATTATTATTATTATTATTATTATTAGTAATATTATTATTATTATTATTATTATATTATTATTATTATTATTATTATTATTACAATATAATAATTATAATAATATGATTAATATTATTATAATATTATATTATAATTCTTATAATTATAAGTATAATCAATTATAATTATTATAATTATAAGTATAATTAATTATAATTATAATTAATTATAATAATTATATTTATAATTACAATCATAAATACAATTATGATTATAAATATAATTATAATATAATATTATAATAATATAATACTTATTATAATAACAATAATCATATTATTATTATATTATTGTAATAATAATATTAATATAATAATATCTTTATAATAATATTAATTGTATTTATATTACTATTATTATATTATAATATTATAATTAATGTTAATATAATTATACTTATAATTATATTATAATTATAAATTATGATTATAATTATTATTTTTATTATAATTATTATTAATAATATTATTATTACTATTGTAATTATTTTACGGATTAATTATAATAATATTGATAACTATAGTTACAATTATAGAGATAAATATTGTAATTATAATTACAATTATAATTACATAATTAATTATAATTAAAAATATAATTACAATTATAATTGTATCTATATTTATAATTAGTGTAATAGGTATAACTTTTTTCATTTTAAATTTAATTTTAATTATTATTATTATTATAGTTAGGATTATAATTATAATTTTATTTAAATTATATTTTTAATTACAATTTTAATAATTATAATAATTATTATTATAATTATAATTATAGAAATATTCAAATTAGATCAGATCAGAAAGATTCAGATCAGATCAGAAGGATTCAGATCAGATCAGAAACATTCAGATCAGATCAGACCAGATCAGAAACATTCAGATCAGATCAGAAAGATTCAGATCAGATCAGATCAGGTCAGAAAAATTCAGATCAGATCAGATCAGAACTTAAAAAATTCAGATCAGAAACATTCAGATCAGGCGAAGAGAACAGCTTCTAATATATTTAGGAATCTGCCTAATATATATTTAGGAATCTGCCTAATATCTATTTAGGAATACTTTATATTTTGGCAACTCCTCTATTATAAATATATCTGTCAGGACTCCTATTGGAGTACCTCTTTCCCATTATTTCACATGGTATCAAGAGCTATTGGTTTGTAGATACATTTTTTGTTTTTTTTTTTCGGTTCCCATGAACCTTATTATACCCGCCGCCGCCTCGAGGTCGACTACCGCCACATTTACGGTAGTCTCTGATCCTTTGAAGATGAGCGCGGCTAATATGGCGCAGATCACCTCCTTCGCGTCGCTTAACACGGTCTTGCTTCTAGCGTGCCGTTGAGTTCGCCGGCTGCTGCTGCCTATGTCCGCGCAGCCCACCTTCTCTGTGTCGCTGACCACGGTGCTTGCTTCAAGCGCGCTGTTGAGTTCGACGCTTGCTGCTGCAGACATATATTCTCATGGAGATCATATTATCAAAGATGTGTCTTCTAATCTTCCGCTCACGGATATATTTACTAAGAGTTTTTTTTTTTGCAATTTCATTTTTTAAAGGACAACCTGCGCGTTGTATCTTCCGCACAGTTTGATGGGGTGTAATAGACTAATATATTTAGGAATCTGCCTAATATATATTTAGGAATCTGCCTAATATCTATTTAGGAATACTTTGTATTTTGGCAACTCCTCTATTATAAATATATCTGTCAGGACTCCTATTGGAGTACCTCTTTCCCATTATTTCACACATAGACCATAGTAATCTAAATGAAAGACTAAATTTTGTGAAGTTTGATATCTACTTGTATTCTTCAACCTATATGTATCAGTTTGTGAGACCTTAGCTATATATGTAGCATGATTTTGGTTCAAGTGAGAAATGCATCTAATGTGAGAAATGAAAATGAATCTCAGCCATTGGATTTCCGATTTTGCACTAAAAATAGCTTGATGTTGCAGTAAGATTTAAATTTTTGCAGTGTTGCACTAAAACTGTTTCATATTGCGCTAAAATTTGACGACGTTGCATCAAAACAATTTCATGTTGCACTAGATGGCTATAATACGGATTTTTCAGAAAATGCTACCAAACTATATTGCATATTTTAGTGCAATATAAAGTATTTTTACTGCAAATTAGACGAATCCAACGACTGAAATTCATTTTCATTTCTCATTCTTAATACGAGTAGTAACAAAGTTTAGAGCTACGATAGTATCATAGTAATACCGTCTTGGATTCTAGAACGGTTACGGTGTTCAATAATTACACATGATGTATATGAATTATTAGTAGAATTTTTGTGTCTTAAACCTTAAAAATGAGTCTTGTTTAGATACGTAAATGGGTTTATGTATGTGAAAGCCTATCACGCACTTTTGTGCAGTGAGCTATGACAATTTTTTGACCACAATTACAAACTAAGTTACCTTACCTAACAGCAATTTGTACATATGTGAATTTAAGAAACTCAAACACATACGTAGTATTTGATAAGAAAATGAAGTCCATTTAAAACAAATTACAAAGCCCACCATTTGTATTTCTTTATTGGATTACAAGCGTATATACTTCAAGTTTCGAGTTTTTTTTCGTATTAATGCTAATTAATTAAGTATTTACGAAAATAGGGTTGATTTGAAAGCATTTATGGATATACTGTTGGGCTTAATCCTGGTCGGGGTAAGTCGCCAAACCGTTTTGCGACTTATAAGTCGCCCAAACTCGAAACAAATACAAATGCATAATTTAAAGATAATGCTTCGTATAAATTATGAAACTAAAAACCTAAAATTTGTGTTATATTACAAAACATTAGATTAAACACATAAAAAATTAAATATAGTTGAAAAATGCATTGTTTATTTCTTATATGAAATATACGTAGTAGTTATAAAATATGGAAATAAAGTTACAGATTTTTTTATTTTATACGTAGTATTTTATTTTTTATTTTGAATTTTTCCATAAACGATAAATATTTCATATCAACATATTTTATATTTTCAACATGTATTTTATATATTATTAATTATTATTTATTTTTTTAACTTATGTTTTTTTTTCTCAAAATTTTGACATTTTTTAGGGTTGAGGGGGTAAATTGAGCGATTTGGTCGGGTTCAGGGGCTTATTTGACCCATTAAGTTGCCAAGTCACATGCACAGGTTACACCCTACCGGGTGACATGGCGGTGACCGGATTGAAACCTGCAAAAGTGATTTTTTATCGACTTCAGGGTGCTAATTGGAGCTTTTTTGGATTCAGGAGGAAATTGAGCAATCTGAAAGGGTACATAGGCCTGATAGGCCTATTTGACCCTTTAGCCTTTTTAATACTACGTAATAGAAAAGCTAGAAGACAAATCAAACATAGCCTTAGTCACAACCTATGAAGCACGGATACTTCACTTGGGTGCCGTGTCGGCGTATCGGAAACGTTCATGTATACTCGTACCGTACGTTCCGGGGCTGTATCAGCAATTTTTAAAAGTTTCCAATTTTTTGGTAATTATTTTAAAATTTCGGATACTCGTATCCTAGCGGATACCCGTATCAACTTTTTTTAAAAAAAAAAATCTTCCAAAACAAAACTTTTTTAAAAAAACACTCAAAATTTACCTAATAAAATTCTTAAAAAATGAAAAGCTAAAAATAATGTTTACCTTGCTTTTATGTGGTACACAACTAATGGACTTATTCCTAATTCACTCATCCTCCTATCCCTAATTCTAATTATCCCTGTAAATTAATAGTTCCAACGGAAATATGTATTATAACTTTTAAAATATTATTTTCTATCGTCATTATTCTAGAACTTTGAGTACTAGCACTTTAATTTCAGAACTATGGTTGTTTGACTTATTTCTCATTTTAGATTAATGACTTATTGACTATATTTATATTTCAAGGTGCACTAGTGTATATGAGATAAAATATGAACTTATTTTTAAGTATCTTGAAAAACTAAAATGCTTCAATGTCATGAATGAGTAGACGTCAGAGGATAATATATATATCTATTTTTTTCAAAAGTTGTATTTTTAATAATTATAAACACACCCCTGTAACTTTTAATATTTATAAATACACCCTCATAACTTTTAATATTTATAACCTCGTATCTGTATCCTACTTTTTTCGGTTTTGTCGTATCCCCGTACCCGTTTCCGCGTTTCCGAGTATCCGTATCGGTGCTACATAGGTCACAACTCCTTAGTCACAACTTTAGCAGACTTTGTTAATTTTGGTATGACCAGAGTGCCTCTTAAACTTGGACTAATAAAAAATTGTTGTATACTACGTACAGGGGCGGATTTACATTATAATGAGGGTAAGCCTAGGCTTCACCTCAAAATATGTTGTTAGTCTAATTGGTAGTAGTTATGCAATTAAATTTCTTTGAAGGCTACATGTCCAAAGATCGAAGCTGCCCCAGGGCTACACCTCAATTTTTCTTTTTTCCCTTGCTACATTGATGTGCTGCTATACGCCTATACGTCCTTCTATCTTTTGTTTGTCTTTGTTGTAACTTGTAAGTTGTACTTCAGTCTTGACCCAATATCTTTAAATTTTAAAGTATCTAGATTAAATTCTCCACACTTTTATTAAACCCAATACCCTAATGGACGATTTCTTCCATAAAAGTAAAGAGCAACGCAATATGGATATCATTATTTAAACATGTCTATGTTGTACTCCCTCTGTCCCGGAAAATTGTTCCCGTTTTCCTTTTTGGGCCGTCCCAAAAAATTGTTCCACTTTCCCCTTTTGGAAAGTTTTTTGTGGGTACAATTCATTTACCTTTTTCTTACACAACCACAACCATACATTTCCACTTTATTCCCACTTTCTTAAACTCCGTTCCAAGTCAATGCGGGAACAATTTTTCAGGACGGAGGGAGTATTCTCTAATATTTCAATTTAATTGGGATTTAAACTACAAAAGTAATTTTAGTTTTTTTGTTGTTAATGAAATGTGTTCTTTTGGTTGAATAAAAATTATATTGTAAACTTATAATTTGGGCAATAATTTCCATTATAATAATATAATGATAGTTATAAATTCTATACTTTTATAAAATACTTTTAACAAAAATAATTCTCATATTCTCATATATATTTATATTGGAAATTATTTCATACAAAAATATATTAATTGACAAAATTTAACTTGGTTGACCAGGAAACTCAAAGATAACAAAGTTTTAAATTATGGCGACTTGAGGGAGTACTATACAGCTATACTAGTACTATTATAGTATTAAGTGTGCATACACTGACCACCGATGCCTAGGTCCGCCACTGACTACGTATTAGGACTTGTTTAACCCAGCTTGCCTTATAGTGCGCATATATTCAACATTTAGATAAAAATTGATTCGAAACTGAAATTGTTGTCAACTAAATAAGGATACAGAGAATGTTGTTTTTACTTTAAGGCAATTGGTAAGAAGCAAAGTCAATCTGCAAGTAATATATTTACCTTCTTCTCGAGCTCTAGTCCTTGAAACCAAATTACATAATTCGAGTAGAGAAAATATAATTTTTACTCAAAAAATATTGCACAGTCGAAGTCGATATGTAATATTTTCGTATGAAGAAATTCTTTTGCATTCTTTTTATCATCCCTAGCCTGTTTATTCATTCTTGGACATTCTTCGATCATACCCAGAGAAGTATGTGCATAAAATACTTCCATATACTAAAAATGGCATTGCCCGGAAAGAACACACACAGACACAATTAATGACAGTATTCATAGCTAATAGAACTAGACAAATTCCAAATCTACGTAATTGAACAAATTTCAAATCTAGCAGTTGTCCCTATCTTCTACTAGTAATTGGAAGTTGGAACCAGGCGGCCATGAATTCAAATCATTGATCACCTTATCTTCCAGGTAGCCCCCGGCTTGTTGTAATAGTAGGGCAACCTTCTCTGGATCTTCATCCTTGGACATGTCATCTTTTTCACCTTCTTCGTCCTCTGCTTCCCAAACGAATAGCTATCCAAATAAAGACCTAACTCATCATCCAGATCGTAATCATCATCTTCCTCGTCTTCCTCTTCAACACCGCAATCAGGCCCATATGCGCTACCACTTCCGTACTCCACAAGCGCAACGGCTGCAACATCAAGTGGGACAGAGATCTGGTCAGGCGAGGGAGATTCCATGGATGCGCCGGAAGAAGGAGAACCAATCGGGCACGAGCGGTCTTGTTTTAGCCCGAATTCGAGAACGGTGTCGTCTTGTTTCATCCCAGCGCTGGATTCGTCTCCGTCGAGGACTTCATCGTTGAGGAAGCAGGCGTCGTCGTCGTCGTCGTCGGAGGGGATCACGAATTCCCAGGAAGACAAATCCTCGACGAAGCCGAATTCATCGATGACGGAACCGGATCCGGCCACCTCTCCCGGATTTCCGAAAAATCGAAGGATTTGCTTAGCCTTCTCCATTTTTGGATTTTCTGCTACGCAATTTGTTTCTCTCTTATTGGAAGTAAAGAGGAAGTTGAATTCAGAATGGGTGTGGTTGCGTGGAACTTCAAGCGAGGAGGAGTAGAGTACATATAGAAGTTGTAATTAACGTAGGGCCCACCAAGTAGTTAGCTTGATTTTGTAAATTAGGTTTACAAACCGATTATTTTTACGTGGGGAGCAAGGGTAGGGTCTCCAAATACCAGTCCCACTTGGTAATGGGTATACATGTCATCTATCTATGTAGTATGTTGCCAAATACGTCTATAGTTGATACATGAATACAGATCGGCAACTTCAAAAATTAAAGAATACGGGTACGGGTGTAAATTTATAAATAACAACAACAATAATAATAATAATAATAATAATAATATAGGGTATAATTTGCAAATATATTTAATTCAGAGTTTCATAAATAAATAAAATAATAACAATACCAAAAATTAACAATTACAATAAGATTTCAAAGATTAGATAAAAAAGATAATATACTAATATTTTGATTTAAAGTCAAATAATATATTTGATTCTTTATTTGCATTTACATCTAAGTCTTTTAACTATACTGATTTCAATTAATGCTCATCAAGCGACAAATTGTAGCATTCCAGTGTTTCTATACTCCTGAAATCATCTTTACTAATGTTCCACATCTTGTGATCGCTTGGGCGGCGACTAAATTTTCATCATGTCATGTATGCACTCAGAGTTATAGAGTTAGATACACGTATCGGTTCACGGATACGGGTATCGAAAATATCCATATTTTTTAAAACAAGGCCAATACTTTTATTAAATTATGGATACGGATCCAATACGTACAGGACGTGTATCAGTAAGTATCGGTATCAAATACGCGGATATGGCATCGGAGTTAAGTATCGGTGCACTATAGCGCGCCATTGTACACGCTTCGTATACACGCCATTGTACACGCCGGTCAAATTGTTTTAATATTCACAATTCGATTGGCGTTTTATGAAGAAAGTCGAATTTCATACACATAAAAACAAAAATTTGTCTGCATCAAATATATTTTAAACGAGAATTTTTCATAAAATGTCTATGATACAGACAATTTGATCGACTTTTTATGAAGAAAACCGATTTCCACACAGACAAAAAAAATTGTCTGTATCACAAACATTTTAAACAAGAAATTTTCATAAAATGTGTGATACAGACAATTTTAAATGAGAATTTTAAAGTGTCTGTGATGCAGAAAAATTATTATTTTTCTCTGTGTGAAAATCGATTTTGTTCATAAAATTCTGATTAAATCCTCTATACACTGACAATTCTGATTATTTTTCTCCGTGTACAAACTGCCGTGTATAAAGAGCATTTTTGCTCCATATATAGAAGATGAAACTCACGTGAAGTTTTGTAGTCAAGACCTCCCCCTATAACTACGGGTGGGCAATTCGGTTTACGGTTCAATTTTCTTCGGTTTCGGTTTATTCGGGTTGGGAGAATTTGTACCAAACTAAAACCATTTGTGTTTCGGTTTGGTTTTGGTTCGGTTTCGGTTCGGTTCGGTTTGAAGTTCGGTTTACCAAAGTAAAAAATATTATTTTTAATTTAGTTTGATTTGATTCGTTTGCTTATGTTTATTATTTTATTTGATCAAGTTCTATATTTCATAATTAGAAAATGGAAATAGTAGTCCATCTCATCTTTTTTTAATTTATTGATTATTTAAATAAAATGTAAAAGGAAATAAAAGATAGAAAAATAAATAGTAAAAAGAGAAAACTATCAAATAAGCCCCCGTACTATGCCGAAAAAGTCGATTAGGCCCTCGTACTTTACAAACACTCAATTAAGTCCTCAAACTATTAAAAAACGTTCAATTAAGCCCTTTTATTGGTCGGTAAGTAACCGGTTTCCCGGTTAAACGGCGACAACGGCGACGATGTGCTCGAACCCCAGCAACGGCGGCTGCCGGGAAACGGGTTGCATTTAACTGGGAAACCGGTTACTTACCGACCGAAAGGGCTTAATTAGACTTTTTTTAATAGTTTGAAGACTTAATTGAGTGTTTGTAAAATACGAGGACCTAATCGACTTTTTCGGTATAGTACGGGGGCTTATTTGATAGTTTTCCCTAATAAAAATATTATAAATTGAAACTTCTAACATCTTTTTTATCACTACAAAAAATTCACTTCTTACAAAAAAATAAGACACTTGATTATCATTTATAATATCACATAAAATATTCAAAAAACCTAAAAGAGTCAGTGATACAAATGTTGTAATATTCACAATTTTATTTAAGTGAATCATGTAAAAATATAAATGCAATTTGTTATTGTTACCGTCAAACATAATAAATACAAATATGTCGTATTAGCTAACTTTGTCATAATGAATGTATGAAATGTGTAAAAGTTAAAATGATACGAGTATATGCTTAAATATGTATTTTCATGTCTAAATTATTTATTTATATCTTAAAAAATGAAGAGTGAAGATAAATACAAAGTGTATGTGTGTATATATATGTTGTTCGGTGTTCGATTCGGTTTACGGTTTTTCCATTTTAAACCAAACCAAAGTACCAAACCATTCGGTTTGAGCAAATGTTTACCAAACAGTTTACTTAGGTAAACCCAAACCAAACCAAATCAAACCACCAATTTTAATAATATATGATTTTTTTTAGTTTCTTTACTTCGGTTAGGTTTTGTTTGGTTTGTATCGGTTTCGGTTCGGTTCGGTTTAATACGGTTTGAAAGAAATAGTACCAAACTCAAACCAAATTGCATACGGTCCGGTTTCGGTTCGGTTTAGTTCGGTTTGGTACGGTTCGGTTCGGTTCGGTTAAACCAAACCATTATGCCCACCCTTACCTATAACCTACGAATATAAGAGAGAAATTAAAGGTGGCGACCCGTGAATTTGACTGCTTTCTCATAGAATTAATAGTGACATACTTCGTATATTACTAATAGAAATTGCAGTTTAATAAGTTAATGATATGCAAGAGTATAACAAAATGTTTTTTAATTGGACTGAATGTTTTTGGTCTGATTTGATTTAGTCTGGTCTCGTCCGAGTTGATAAATGAGTAACCTAAGTGTATTTTACAAATGTTGAAATTCGGTCTGATTTGATCTTTTTAAATTTAATTTAGTTCAAGTCTTATGTGATCTACTATGATCTAATTTGGTCTAGGATTGAAACTTGTCCCAGTAAAAACAAGCTCTCTTCTCCGAAAAGATTCAACCGAATTGGCAATGCTCGACCATAAAAGTAATTCATTGATCCCTCAAGCTGAAACCCCTTTGTCACGACTGATTTCATGGTTGCCTTACTCCAAGAGGTAATCTCGTGTAAAGAACAGTTTCGTACTTTCGTTACAAACTCCGCCCTGCGTCGATGTGCTTGTCCCATATAGTACCTTTTAGGCTTTTCATTATGCCATGGCCATGTGCATAAATGCATAATGACCGCATAATACATAGCCACATAGGTGAATGTCGTGATTGTAATTTTTAAGGAAAAATTGTTAAATATGACAGTGCATTTTGTCGAAATTTTATAGTTTTTATATCACAATTCGAGTCTTGATACCCATTTCATAAATCATTTCTCAAGACATTGTTTTCTTACAATTTTTTAGAAATTTTATCAATTCACTAACTAAAAGATACGAAGTATATGTTCTATACTTCTATCAATTCAGAATCTGAAATATGAAATGTGTCAATGTAGAGTCAAATGATAGGAAATTATCAATATACAAGTAGGATCTAAGTTGTCATGAATTTTATTATTTTTTAGTTTTAAACAGTTAAAATATTATTTAGTTTTATTAAACTAATAAACTTTTGAGAAGAAAAAATCCTCAAAAGTTAGCAACAGAATAAATAAAAAATTAAATAAATCAAAACATATGGAATTTTAGATCCTAGATTGATAGCTTTGGATCATTCAAGATCATATATCGACACATTTCATCTTTTAAATTCTGGATTGATAGTTCATTTATAGATTATGAATTGATAAAGTTCCTAATAATAAATATTATGGAGTAATAGATATAGGATGTTTTTACTTAGACTGTAATTTGCCCCAGACCAGACCAGACCAGACCAGTCCAGACCAGACCAGACCAGTTCAGACCAGACCAGACCAGACCAGACTTGGATAGTTATAAAAATACAAAGAAACCAGACCTTACCAGACCAGACCAGACCAGTTCAGACCAGACCAGACCAGATCAGACCAGACCAGACCAGTAAATTACAATCCAAGTAAAAACATTCATACTCCTTACTTGGTAGTATATCTTTTAAATATACTTGGTATTGAACTATGTACGAATAATAAATTCTCTTATGATGCGACTTGTTTGGCCCCAGATCTCTCATACTCCGTATTACGTATATTACATAAATTCCTTGAAACTACAAAAAATTGCACAAAGCAAGACTGCAAGAGTAAATAAATAAATTTAATGACCAGGCTAACATAGGTTCTTCTAACAAATGCAAGAAAGCAAGTGCCAAAGATTCAGCTAGTTATAATTAGTGATGGACCCGGGCCGGGTCGGGTCCGGGTTGGGCCTAGGCCCAGCGGGATTTTGGGGTTTAAGCTGTAGGCCCGGAACCGGCCCGGATATCCACCGGGTCCGGTCCGGGTTCGGTTCGGGCCGGGCCTGGTTATTATTATTTTTTTTTGCTTTCCTAACTACCCCCTGACCCCCCCCCCCCCCCCACCCACCCAAACCCCCCAAAACACCCAGCCCAACCCGGGGGGACCAAACAAAAATTGAAAAAATTTACTCCTTCCGTCCCTAAATAAACTTCCAACTTTCCTTTTTCGTCCGTCCGAATTAAAACTTCTACTTTCCCTTTTTGGCCAGAATTTTTGATTCACAACAATTCTTACACATTTCTCTCTCCTCTGCACAACTCTCCACCACACAATACCCACTATCTTAAACTGTGTGCCAAACCTATTTGGAAGTTTTATTAGGGACGGAGAGAGTATATTTTTTGGCCCGAACCACGCCTGGTTGGGCCGGGTCACCTTTTCTTCAGCCCGAGCCCGCCCCGCTAAACCCTACGGTCCGGGTCAAAAGACCGATTTGGGACCCGAAGCACCAGGCCGGGCCGGGCCCGCACAGTAGCGGGCCGGGTGGCCCGGACCGGGTCCATCACTAGTTCAAATTATACAACTACCAAACAAGGCATACAACAACCTTTGAAGCGGGTTCACAACCATTTGTATTCATATTTGTGAAATCAAAGTCTTAAACGGAGTAATAATTTAAAGTACGAACTGCATATAAAAAATTTCCGTTATTTACAACTCTAGTAGAAAATTAGCCTGATTTAGTTCATCAATTATTATATTTTATTCTAATCGATTTAAATTAGACCCACAATGATCGGATTTGACAAAAGGGTTGGAATAAATCTGTCCAAACTTCAAGTTTCAAATCTGGTTTGAAACCATTCTTTTTGCTACAATATAGTTTGCAGTAGTTAAATAATACTTGTATATATTTTTGTCAAGAATTAAAATCTCATAAATACATTCATCATGAAGCCCATCCACGATATAATTTGGGGAATTGGGGGAGTGTCCTTCCAAAACATACTACCTGTCATAGAAACAACGTAAATGCTATCATCACGAAGCACATCCACAATATAGTTTGGTGGAGCACCCTTTCAATGACCAAAACGTACATGTCAAAGAAGCAACGTAACCCGCAAAAGATTGGAGCATAATACCCGAGCCATAGAAGTAATCCGTGGGCTAATAAAATAGGAAAGTTAATATTATATCGACCAGAAAATATGGGTAGCACATAATTGATCCTTCCAGCTAAAACCCCCTTTGGCACAAGTGATTTCACGGTTGTTCTGTTATGTTGGACTTCGTGTGGAGAACAGTTTAATTGGAATTTCCGGTGTGAAGGATACGAACTCCAACCAGTGTTGACGTGCAAAAATTTTCTGGAGAAATTTCTTTTAGACATGCATCCCCATGTGCAAATAGAGAGATGAGTATTGCATAATTCTTAGACCACGACAATCTCCTCGGCTCTGGAGCGAATGCCTTTCAAATACTCCACAAGAACCCGCTGCTCATAAGAGCCACCTTGCTGAGAGATATAGAGTATGTAAATCATTGGTGGGATTGGATAACTCCAAAATTGACATCTCAAGGATATAGCACAAAAAAGAAATAGCAAGGGTTTCTAGAGACTAACCGTCCGCATTATTGTTCGCTCTATTCGCTTCTTAACAACAGCATTAAACTCTTCAGGTGAGACATCACCTTTGTCCACAGTCATTCCATCCCCCAACAACCTGTTCCATTCTTCTTCTGGAGCTGCATCAACAAAACAGGACTCCATATTGGTCACTTTGACAATGGTAAGATGATTAAAATTTGTTCCGACAGAAAGGATTCGGAGAGTTAGCTTATATCCTAAAATATTGACTTTGTACCCCACTTTTTGGGTGATATTAGACTTTACGCCCCACTTTCAAAATATTTTGACTTTGCACCCCATCATATATACCATTTTGTGAAAAAAAATTCTGAATGGGGGGTGCAAAGTTAAAGGATTTTTAAGTGAAATGCGGTGCAAAGTCAAAGTTTTTTTTAAATGGGGAGCAAGGTCCAATATCACCCAAAAGTGGGGTGCAAAGTCAAATTCCCCCTACAATATATTACTCTCTCCGTCCGTCTATCTTTGTTCCATTTTACCATTTTTCGTCCATCTGACTAAGTTTGTCATACCATATTTGGTAAAATTTGGTGATTACAATTCATTCTTACTTTATTTACACTTTATTAATTGGCTAAAGGGTCAAATAGGCCCTTGAACTAACTTAAAGTGTTCAATTAGCCCCTTATATAGGAGGTTCTGCCCGGCCGTCGTCAATTGAGGCGGTTCCAAAAATGATTTATTGAAGATAACTGTGTAGCTAAACAGCACAGTACATTTCGGAAAATCATTTGAGTGCCTTCCCGATTTAATTTTTAGCTGAAATTTGATATGGGTAAACTAGACTTAATGAAGAAGATGCTCAAAAAATTTCATCAAAAAATTCCACCGGGAACCTTTCCAATTAGCAATGACCGGGCTGAACCTCCTATATAAGGGGCTAATTGAACACTTTAAGTTAGTTCAAGGGCCTATTTGACCCTTTAGCCTTATTAATTTAATATCAACCACACAATTTCACTTTTCTTAATAACTATAGCACTCCCTTTTGTTTCAATGTTAGGGGACCGGAGGTAGTACGGAGTATAAAATAGAGCATAGTGCAGGGTAGGAACCTTTGATTATGGTCTCGAGAAGCTGTTCAGCTTTTAGCACCACATTCCCTGCCAAAGAAAGAAAAAGAGTAAATCTCAATTCCAAGCAATTGGTATAGGCTCCTTAGCCAATACTATTTTCTTAATTACAAAGTAATATTTTGGGATTGTGATAATCAGATATTCAATAACAAAAATTGATCTATACAACTACAACAACATCCAAGCCTTAATCCCAAAAGAGTTTGAGGTTGGCTCGATATTTGAAATCGGAGTTAAAAAGGATTGAAAGAGATAAATCATCTCCACATGAATACTCTCTCCATTTCGCTCTCTAAGCGATATTCATGTCATGCCATGTGACTAATTTATATTATTGGCCGTCACGCGCCTACCATAGCACCTCCTCCATTATCATGACTTGGGACATGCATGATATAAAAAAATGATCTCATGACAGAGTTGAAAATTATAGATTTATAAATAGAAAAAAATACAATCATAGATTTAAAGAAGGAGAGCCTTGGAGCACTGGTTAGAGTGTTGTTGTGTGAGTAAGAGGTCACGTGTCCCAGTCTTGGGATGGGAGTGGCCTCTGATCAAAATGATGAGGGGAAGCTTGCTCCTTATACACCCTTGTGATAGGACCCTTCCCTAGACCCTCGCCATGTGAGGAAGCCAATGTGCAATTGGGCACCCAGCTGCCCTTTACAATCATAGATGATAGATCTAAAGTCACCTTTTCTTGCATAACTACGCTTAGAGAGAACTCTGGAAGCGTAGAGCTGCAGAACTTTTTGCAGCATAGCTTGAAGCCCTGGCTTGTCCCCATCTTTCACCTATAGTTAATGCATCAAGTTAAGATTATATTTGAACATAAAAATTAACCAGGATAACTTGTTCAACATCATTTGCTCTGGCAATCAGCTTCACTGAACAAAAAGCAATAATCTTATATCTTGATCACATAACACCAAACAAAAAGACAGATGGAGCTTAAGTAAATACTACGTCCCAAAAGAGGCATGCTTCACAAGTCAATTTCGTCCTAAGAATAGAGTCCTACTTCATCAGAGGAATCTAGTTTTCAATTGAATTAAATGTTATTTCAAACAAAAAAAAGCATTCTAAATTAAGTTATATTTAAAGGGCCATTACTAGTTAGTCTGGTTACAATATGTTAAACAAAAGTTATATTTGAAGGGCCATTACTAGTTACAATATGTTAAAATAAGTTAACACTAATGTTTCAAGACAAGTATACTGCAATTAGTTATGAATCTAATTTTTTAGTTAAACTAAAGTTTTGTTTAAGGGGCCGCCACTAGTTACAAGATGTAGTTAAGGATCTAATTTTTTTTGGCAACAGGGATCTTTTTTTTGGCAACAGGGATCTAATATTTTTGTATAGCTAAAAAGTTTTCTGAACAAGTAAAGCAGACAAATATATTTAAAAATATAAATAGGATGGATGATGTACAAGAGTTGTACCTTTACTGAATTTAAGTCATTAGTAAACATGACTTCATTTTTTTGGGGGTGGGGGGAAGGACTGAAGGAGTATAACTGACTGTCTATAAATACAACATCCTTACTCAATGTGCAAAGTGGTCATCAGTCATGAGTTCACTGCGTATGTGGTATTTAAGTATTAGACGTGTGGAATTGTAATGGCCTTTCACTTCCTTCTTCTATGTCCTATATATGGTTTGGTCAGTCCAAGGTCTTCATTTGTAGTCAGTGGTAGATTATATGTTAATCAGTCACCCGTCACCTAAGGTGTAAATGATAAAGTCCAGTTATAAATGATGATATCATTTTTTGAGCCTAAGAGAGGACTTGAGTAGTTGAGCAATTAACAAAGTTCTAATTCAAGAATCTTACTTTACGTAGTTGTGCATAAACTTCGGACAGAAATCCTTCATCTAGTTGGCCTTCTTGCTCCCTTTGGTTTAATTCCTGAAAAATGAGCAATAAATTTAACCTACTAAAATCACAAAGATCATTTAGTTACATTAGGAGTAATAATGGCAAATTATACTCCAAGTATGAAAGCCAATATTTCCACTTCCATCATTTGATGTGCTTGTCCTCAACTCTTCTAGCACCACATGCTTGTCTTATAAACTCAAGTTCATTTGTTTTACAAATAAATGGTTGCGAGCTGTACAATGATATTGTGAAAATCCCATAATCAAATGTGCACACCACACCTTAATCGCCACAAGTGAAAAAGTGCAACATTTGTCTATTAGAATCTATTTAGAGGAACTTAGATATTCATTCTAGTGAGTTAATCTAATCAGTAATCACCAAATGTTCACATCTCAATCATCTTGCTTGATGATGAAAAACTTACTGTCAAATCGTCAATGGACTAAAATCCATTGATAGTCAAACATACTGTGTTTGATTTCTCCCAGCGATTCATAAAAATCTTTGTTATACAAAAAGCAATTATGAACCAATGGCATCATCATCAACAATCCCTAAGACGTCAAAGATGTCAAGAGATGGTTTGGATATAAAACGACATTTTAATGAGAAAAAGAAATGGTTTATAATGGAAAATTGGAGGTTAGTGCTCTTATTTGAAAATTGGTAATGGAGCATTTCATTAAAAAAGGATTGGAGGACAATGGATTTTAATTAAAAAGGATAGAGCTGTGATGCTAACTGTTATGCATTACACCATTAGATCAGTATACAAAAAACAACCCCCACCCGCCTACAAAAGAAAGACCTAAAAAACATATTAATATTATGCACATACAGCACAAATGTGTTCTTTAAGCATAACAGATATAAGCTTTAAGAATACTTTTTCCAAAAGGCTGAGAGCTTCAGGATCTCTTGGAGGCCAAAAAACATCCTCCTCTTCATGAACTACGGGCCTTAAGATGGCTTTAAGCACATCTGTATCCGACTCTATCTTTTCCTACAGAACCAAAAGCAGAAACACGAGAAACTTTATAGTGGCTCTCGATATAGAATAAAATCCAGACCACCAACCGAACTTTTTTTTTTATGTAGGACAGAAGAGTTGATAATCAAGAAAGAAAATGCAAAAAAAAATCACTTTTATGTTGTTTCACTGGTAACCATTCTTCTTCTTTTTATGAATGTTATTGAACATGTATTTTAGAGCAAAAGAAAGGAGACCATACCTGGGTCTTATGCACAAGACTATCAACCGTGTCCATTAAGATTGACGCCAGTTCTTCAAGGTCTTTCTGCAAATGCAAAGGCAAATGGATCATTCACAATGCTGAGAAGTAAGGGCATATCACAGGGTTTTCAACAAGCAGAAAATTATAGAGTGTGGAATGTGGAACCATACCTTGTCATCTTCGGATTTGCAGGCATCTGCTCTATCAGCTATTCTCATCCAAAAGCTCTCATTGAAAACAAAGACATTCTCTGCAACAAGTTTCCGAATCTGCTTCCAAAGAGAGTGAAAGTTTCAATCAACACATCAAGAAAATTATGGTTCTATACAGATATATTGCGTAAACTCAAGTTATGTCTAGATAGCCAAGGCCTCTTCCCATGATAAATTGGCAATCTGGTGTAATTCCACCCTCCCTCAAAAGAAAAACCGCAAACGTGTATTCTTCTCAGTTCTCATATTATCGCGTTTAATTCATTAGCTTTTAAAGTTTTGGGGTAGTGGACTTCTGGATTACCAGCTCATCCATATGACAAAAGGTTGGATGGTTAAGAATCGAAGCAATCAATCATTAACACAAGCCTCACTTAGAAGGCTTAATCAGGATTACTAGCTCATCTATACGACACAACATAGTTGGATAAAAGAATCATTTAGCTTCAAAAAGTAACAATAAATTTTATGGCATCTTAATCACGCTAGTTTAGAGTGTGCATTATTAAATGATCCGAAGACATTTCTTGCATAGTCTGATCAAAAGCAAGGCTTACAAAAAATCGCATCACATTAAAATATAAAATGACTGCATTTCATTTCTTTTATCATCTGCAACTGTCAGTACATCTAGAAGCCAATTTAATTAGGCATCCTATTGGCACTTGCTAGTAGCTACAGTGTGCAGTCTAGGATGATCTCATATTATTAGAAATGAACGCATTTCACTTACTTCTCTATCATTTGCGGTCCTCAGCATATCTATTAGCCTATCCATTTCTACTGAATGCTTGAATGAGTCCTCATCATCTTCTTTGACTGCACAAATCAAAGGTTTCCTGCTTATTTCGTAAAAAAAAAAAAAACTGAAAATCAATATTACTCGCAACTAGTATCTATAACGGTAATTCTGTGAGATTGACTTTTGTCATATTACCTCTGATTCCTTTTGCCCAATTTTCTACACGTATTTGAATTGAACTTCTCGCTCCTAAAACCTCCACTCCACAAATAACACTGCAAAGAGATGTGAGAGAAAAGAGCAAGTAATAGTCGACGTAGGTAGTAGAGAATAGCTGGATAGATAACTAATGAACTACCGTAAACCGTCGTGAAGATGACTGAAGAAAATGCGAAGTACAAGGATGCGCTCGTGCCGCGAAGGATGTCGCCATTTCAGAGCACTTTTGATTGATACCGGTAAGGGTGGAATGGCGGGAAAGACTGCCGTCTGAGATCTTTGCCCGGATAATTCCTCCTCCTTCGCTAGCCAGATTTTGTGCCAGTCCGGTGATCAGCCTTAGCCTTACTCAACAAAATTAAAAATTACGTCCTCCTAAACAGTTTTTTTTTCTTTTTTGAAGGAAAGTTTTTTATTATTTAATTTAGCAAAACTATTTTTTTTGTAATAGGAAGACTTATATTGATAATAAAACATTCAGCAAGGGACACAAATGATAAAGGAAATCTTTCCAGCCACTGACCCTCGAACCAGCTGAAGAACCAATCACCCTAGGCAACAATATGATTCGCCGATCGTGTATTGGGTCTAAATGAGGCAATGAGCCTAATGTGGCCAGAGCAAAACTCTCATCACCCCCACCTAATGTAAGAGTTTGACAAATCAACACAACAGTAAAGGAAAAAAAAAACAAAGTCTGATAGCATAGCATGAAAATAAAAATAGTAAAAGCGTGGAAATTAACTTGCATCCTGAAACACATGAATGAGCACTAGCACCCCTTCCCAGCTAAGAGCATCTTCAGAGTACTCGGCGGGTCGAGGTGCCTAAACTCGCCCTCTCTCCGTTTTTTGGGTCGTCCAAGACCATATTTTCCCTCTTGTCCCTCTCACCACTATCTTCTTCCCCTGTCCTCCTACGTTTTGGCTCTCCACTTGTGTGGACCATCCACATCCGCTATTTCTTCATCCTCCGTACGACTCTTAATGTTCCCAGCCAAAGAAAGTGTCATCCCTGCCTGCTCGGACCAGCTCTCCCTCCATCCTCTCGGTCTGCCCTACTTCCATCCCTTGATCCTTCTGGACTAACCATTTGTCCCCCCCCCCCCAAACGTGTGGGCTTTCCCCCCTCCTCCTGCGCGTAGGCCGACCCCATACTGCTAGCTTGTTGGTATCCACAGATATGTTTTCGTAAATCAGGGGACAAAACCTGCCAGCATGTCCTATAATACCACAAGAAAAACAAAAACTAGGCAACTTCTCATATTTAAAGTCAATCCAGTGCCCTTCACCCTGTCCCTTACTGAGAATGGTAACCACCTTTAATGGCTTCCACCTTTAAGGATATGGCTATCGGTTCTTCCTCTTGATCCCCGATAGCCATATCCTTATACTCCCATTTTTTAGCGATTTCTTCCATCTTCCATTCTTCGTTCTTGCAACCACCGGCCAGCCACCCAACACTATGGACAAAGACGAAGATCTACTTCCCTACCTTCGCCGAAAATGCCTATCTGAAGAGCGCACCCCTCGTCGAGCGAAGCAGAATTTAGCGAAATTATTTAAAGTGATTAAAATCTAAGTGCGCTTTTTATAGGATGTAAAATAACTACTTTGCATGTGAAGTGAAGGAACAAAAAATATTAACACAGTCTAGTTTGATTATTTAATGTAAACTGTTATACAATTTTTAAAAACATTTTGCACTGTATCATGAAAGTATTTTACGTGGGAGGAAGGTGGTAAAATATTTTGCATGTTTTTTTATAAAGCACTGCAATGTTTTTGCATGCATATTAAAAATAAATTATACATCTAGACAAACAATGTAATCTATTTTAAATGTAAAGTGACTGTTTCCCTAAACTTTGTATGCAATCATTTTACGTGCAAAGATTTAACATGTAAACTATCAAACAATCTTTAAATTATAATCAAAATTTGAATAAAATAAAATGACATTGATAGAATATTTCTTGCCAAAAAAGTAAATATGACATTCATCTTGAGCAATGAAAACAATTAAAATAAGTGAAATGACACGGAGGTAGTCCTCATTTGGGAAAAGAATTTTGAGGTTTTTAACTATAATTAATAATTTTGATTATGTAAACAATAAAAATTATTACTCTCTGTATTTTAAAGTTTTCTACACTTTTCTTTTTTAAATGTATTTAAAATTTTGTTACACTTTCTCTTTTTGGTAGGTTTTTGCTTAAAAAATGATCAATTACTTTACCTTTTCTACATTTTACCTTCTTTTCTTCTTAAATATTCAATAGATGAAAGATAGACTAGCTTGTTGAACCCAAAAGGCTACAAATAGAAATGCTAATTAAGAACTCGTTTGGTGATCATGTTTTCAGCTTGTCAGCCAACATTTTCATTAAACAAATAACTTTTGATTACGTGTGCTGAATTCTGTAATAATAAGAAAAAGTAAGATTGAAGTTACTTTTTAGTTATATTAGTTGAAGTTACTATAGAGGGTCATTTAGTTGTTTTTTCATATAATTTTTTCCTTGTTTTATTAATAAAATATATTTCAAATATTTTTCTCATAAATCAACAGAATCAGACAATCGAGACACTTCAACCATAAATTCATCAATTTCAGCAGAATCCGTCAATAGTCAATACAACCAATTTGGATTTTACCGAACAGACTATATGACAGACAACGTTTAATTGGTGTCTCTTCCTTTTGTGCCCTCTCTATTTTAAGCATGTTGTCTTCCTCATCTTATTTATTTCAGCGTTATTTTCAAATTCTTCATAGGTTTCTAACAAGTGTGGGCATATCGGTTTTCGATTTGATTTTTATCGGTTTCGGTTCGGTTTAGTATGAAATGGGTTGGAAGAATTATTACTAAACAAAAACCATACTATTATTCAGTTTGGATCGGTACGGTTTAATTCGATTTGGTTTGACTTGGATTTGTTATTTTTAAAAATATATATGAAGGTTTTATTGAATTTCTTTAGATCGGTTCGGTTTGTTCGGTTTTTAACAGTTTCGCTTCGGTTCGGTTTAATATAGTTTGAAAAAAATACTATCAAACTCAAACGAAATTGTATATGGTCCGGTTTCGACTCGATTAAACCAAACTAAAATACCCACCCCTTCTTTATTATACTCTGTATTCGTTTATGTGGTCCTTTTCTCTTATATGAAGTGTTTGTTTTGATTCTATCTTGGCGTTGAATTACTGGAGGAGATGTATAGCAATAGCTATGCCGATGGATTATCCTCTGGTGTAGAAGAATTCGTCATGTAGGTAGATGAATTGCTCCAAAGCTATTTGTCACCCTCAATGTTAAGTTAGAGTATGAGGGTTCACCTACATTTTGTGTTTTGAGAAAATGGTTACTTCACTATATCAAGTTGAGAGCCGTAGAGTAAAGAGTACATCAGTTTACAAATCAAACGCAATCATCCTTCTACTCGGTTGTTTGGTGTTAAACGAGTACAAAAACTAACCCACCGTTTAAAAACGCTCGTGTGGCACTTAAGAGCCGTTTGCTTCGTATACAGTGGAGGCCAAGTCAGCATCCGCCCATTTCCCCATTTTATATCTAACCCTAAATTCAATTTTGCATCGTATACGTCAAAGATTCAGGTCTTCCGCTTCAGATTGGTTTCGTTCGAGAAACATGTCTCCTGGCAAGGGTGAGTTGCTATATTTTTGTCATACAAGACTTATGAGTTGGTATACATGTCTTCTGATAGTATCAGACTTCCGAATGGACATAGGTGATGTAAATAATTGTTCGTGTTCTGGATTTTTTGTTTAAGCTAATTGGAAAGATATTTTGGGTGCAAGAGACATGGTTTATGGGAAGTGTAGCTGTGGAATTCCTGTTAAACTGATGACGTCCTGAACAAATGACAATATATTGAGACGCTTCATTGCCTACTCTAGAATTGTTTTTCCCTTATCTGATTTCTGCCATTTACCTCTGCCACTACTATTTTGTCATCAACTTTCTTAAGAGCATTTGACCATGTTGTAACTCCTCAAATGTCACGCCCCAGACCGCATCTAAGCGCGTGTACAATCACCGTATAATCAAGTGATGTCACCCGCGAGTCACACTCACTCGATTGTATAAGGCGTCCATGAACTTCGTTCATACCAAGCTCAGTGAGTAAACATACATAATAACATCACAATATAGATTGAATGAATAACAGAAGTATTCAATAGTCAATCATGGGCCACATATGACAAAACGTGGGCTCGCAGGCCCAAAACAATGTGTCTATTACAAAATATCTATGAGCACAGTTTATAGTTTGAAAACAATAAAGGAAGCACGAACCACGTCTTCCTTGAGATTTCTTCACCGAGAAAGGGTGTGGATAATAAGCTTTAGCTTCAACCTGAAATGGTGGGGCCCCCGAAGGGGTCAGTACGAATACCGAGCGAGCATCAGGCTAAATGTAGGATAACTAACGTTTCAAGTATAAGACCCAAACATAGGGCGATACATACACGTATATTCCTTTCCCCCAAGTTATGAAATACCTATCACTATATATACACTTGGAAATACCCGACCCGTAGGTCGTTGTTTATTTGGGAAAATAGTAGTAGTCAATGTACTTGACTTAAATCCCAACCCACCCTTATACATATGAGTGTATAAGACTCCTCCTGGTCCAAATCAATCATCATAGTCTATGAGTTTTAAGGACAACTTAGTCCTTAGGTACTCCACCAATTCATAATCCGAGTTTTGAGGACGATTTAGTCCTTGGGTCCTCCACCGTTTATGCATTTGAGTCTTGAGGACGGTTTAGTACTTGGGTCCTTCACCATTTATTCATATGAGCTTTGAGGACGGTTTAGTCCTTGGGTCCTCCACCATTTACATACCGAGTTTTGAGGACACATCGGTCTTTGGGTCCTCCACCAATTCATAATCCTATGACCTACCACACATCATACATAGATAGGGTCCATATCATATTATCGTTAATGACTAATCCAAGCCTTAACATCTAATCATCTAATTATCAAACATTAACATTTGAGCATCATATTCCATGCAATTCCATGCAAAATATACACATATAGGATGGTCGGGGTCAATCCCCCCTCAAATCGGGCCCCAATACGCGTTTTCGGCGAAAATGAATTTAGATGCAGCAGTTTAACCGGCATCGATTATGCCTTATAACCGGCGTCGGTTATGTACGCAATTTCGGGTCAATGGCCTGTTGACCCCCGAAACATGCTCCGTTCGGTACGAAACTTATACATAACATGTATCAAGTCTAAACCAATCAATAAATGCCATTTTGGCATTTAACAATGAAGTATTGAACATATATTATAAGAGAGACTAAAAAGTCTAACAAAAAAAAGAAATGCCATTTTGGCCATTCAAAACATTACACATTTTTTTATATTCATTTTTATCCAATTAGATGCATAATGTTTCATTTTAGTTCACATAAGCCTAATCACCTTGGCTAATCATATGCTTAAACTCTTTTAAACATCATTATGAATACTTATATCTTTTCTTTAAGTAATCTCATGCTTAACCCAAGAGTTACAAGACATCCACTCACCTCGAATGCGCGTTAAGAAGTTCTACTCTTCTCGGTTGAACTCCGGTGAACTTTATTGAACTCCGGCAATAACTCCGGTGACTCTTTCAACTCCGTGAAAGCTCTAGGAACACCTTAGACAAGTTCCTAACAAGGTTTTCCTGCGAACCGGTCCCTTTGGCTTCTAAGTCTGTTCTTGGACTTAGAACCACCTTCCAACCCCCCATTCTACACTTCTAAACATGTAGAACAATCCTATGGGTCCTTATTACATACTAGTAATACAATATGTGATGAGAAGAGGAAAAGGTTAATACAAGGTCATTACCTTAATCCTTCAAACTTTTCTCCATTTTTCTCTTCTCTAAAACTCCTTTTTGGCACTCATTTGCTTGAGCTCGAGTTTAGGCTATGGAGGATGAGTATTGCAGAGCTTCTCCTCTTTAAATAGAAGGCTTGGTCAAAAATGAAGGAGAGGAGGGTTGCACATAGTCCTTTAATTTTTGTCTCAATAGACCAATGAGTGTGGGTGTGAGGTCCACCTCAAGTCTATTCTCACCCATCTCCCAACTCTCCAGCCCATAGCCCTCTTTCCTAGCGTGTTTGGTAGTCTCAAATTGAATTTGAGCATGCAAAAACGTGGGGTGGCCCCCACTCATGTGGGAGGTGGCCCCCGCTCCCGGTGTGGGCCCCACACGCTATTTCCTATTCACGTAAAAGTAATAATGAAAAATTTACAACCTCGTAAATTCATTAACCCATTCTCAATGTTCAATACATAATTTACATAAAAGTAAATATACTTGGGGACGTTATTACATCATCATCTTCATTTTCTGAATTGACTTTATCTTCAAATTATAGCCCAACTTCTGCCTCAAGAAGTGGATCTTTAAATCCCAAAACAACAACAAAGGGCACTTCACCCCTAGTCTCCCATTCTGACCCAACAATGGGACTGCCTGTTTGCTCATAAATGTGCATTGCTGTTTATTTCATCATAAATGTATAACAAATTATTCATCTAACACAAATACGTTCAAGTATTAAAAATAGCTTATAAGATAACCAATTTGTTATAATAAATGCTTTTACTAAAAACATATACTTCATGCAATTTTCAACATCAACATTACTTACATAGACAATATGATCAACTATATGTTATGAAAACAATGAAGTCATATATTAGATAATAACTTACAAAAATAACTCATATTAAAGCATATACAACAACACATTCGTAAAACAATACTGTGTTTTTGTTCCATTCAATGCTTCAAACCGTCCAACCTCCCGTGCTCCTAAGCTTCGCACTGCATAATGGTGGACTTAATTAGCGCAACAATGGTGAAGTTATTAGGGTTGCGTACCGGCCTAATGTAGATTGTAAACAGATGACATGTTTTTTGTGTGACATGTCACTATTGGTTTGCCAAGTCAACATTAACTTCTTTTTCTAATTGTTGTACTCGTTTATTACCAAACAACTGAGTAGAGAGACTATTGTGTTTGATTTGCAAACTGATGTACTCTTTACTCCATGACTCTCAACTTGATATAATGAATCGACCTTTTTATCTTTGTGTTTTTATATTTGGTTTAGAAAAAGGAAAAATTAAAAATAATAATCCCAACTATTGCTGGTCCGCTGAAAATAATCCCAACTATTGATTATTTTTGTATAATCCCAACTATATAGACTATCCGTCAATAATGGTCCATGACCATATATTACCTCTATAAAAAGTGAATTTTAAATAGAAATTAAGCGTAAAAATTAAAAGTTGAGATTATTTATAGGGATTACTTGTTATATCTCATCTCATCCACTTTAGAAACTACAAGAATTTATTCATAGAGACCATTATTGGCGGAAGGTCCTTAAAGTTGGGATTATTCTGTAATAATCAATAGTTGAGATTATTATGAGCGGACCGCCAATAATTGGGATTATTACTATCAATTTTTCCTTAGAAAAATCAGTACGTGATTGTTTAGAATAATGAATGAATTTGAGCATTAGGAAGTTCATGATAAAGGGAGATCACAAATCGTTATGCTATAAACTAATTATATAAAATATTAGTCAACATACTTATCAAAAAATAAAATATACTCGGAGAAAACTAAGTTATATATATATATGAGTAGTATTCCTGTCCGACCAGGCCGGACAGGGGTGGTCCGGCCACCTCAATTTGAGGTGGTTCCCGGTGGTACTTTTTGCTCAATTTTTTGTGTATGTTCCTCATCAAGTCTAGTTCATCCATACCAAATTTGAGCAAACAATTAAATCAGGAAGGCCGTCAAATGATTTTTGCAAGTTAACTGCTTCGCGAAACTAAGACATATGGACTAAGGTGTATGAAATTGATTCTGTTTCTGCTTCGTTTTTTAAAAAACAGAGACATAATCAGTTTTCAAAAGCTGGTCTCCCCAATTTCTAAAAAACTGCTTCCAGGAGCAATTCAAAGCACCCAGAAGTACTTCTACACTCTCAGCCAAACACTCGAATGTCTGCTTTTGCTCCTTGAAGGAGCAGAATCAGGAGCAGATCCAAACACCCCCTAAGTCTTTTACGGAGTATATGATTAACACATAAGACCCAAAATACAAATTTATGTTTTAAGTATTCACACATGGAAAACTTTATTACATTTTTGTTATTTTTATTACACTGTATTTTTTAATTTCTAATTGAAAAATATTTAGTCTCTCAAAACGTTTCTCTCTCTAGGGTTGCCGCAAGGTAATCGCTAGCTTCGATTCGTCCGCTGTCGACCATTGCAGAGGAGCGGGCTGGGTTTTCCGGCCAATTGTTGGAATTGGAGAGCCTCTATCTCTAGCAGTCATCTCCCTACGAGTTAGGGTTTCGTTCTTCCTTTTTTGTCATCTATGAAGAGCGGCTGTCGGCCGATTTCGGTCGTGCAAGCAGGCTTGGGATCAGGGATGCAGTGCTTTGGCGGCAGGGATCGACTTCTGCTGATGTTTCTGGTCGAAGGTCGAATGTTGACAAAGAAAAACGTGGATAAGCTGTGGCGGAGTTTTGTTTCGATTCAACAGCAAGGGATGTCAAATGAGGATATCGCCAATCAATACAAAAGCATGACTATTGAGGCGGATGAGCGGTGGGCGCGTCCCCCTCCCGAGCTGCCGCCGTG